GGCAGGCGTAATTCTCCTGGGTCGATGAAATCCACACCCTCAACGAGCCTCGGGCTTGCTTCTCGCGACCGAGGCTACTGAGGCAACTGAGGCAGTTTTGGCAATTCGAAGATAGACTTCAGACTTCCCTCTCGAGTGCAGCTCTATGTCGAACTCTCTTTTGGAGCGTTTCCCATTGAGAGGGGGTAGGTAGGGCGACCGCATCTCAGCCTTGTTGCGCCCCGCAACACTTCGCGGGGTTGCATCCCGCGAGCCATGGCTTGAAAATGCGAAGCATGCGGGGTCAAAACATTTGGGAGTGTCTCAAAAGTGGTCGACCCCCTGTTGCTCGGAGTTGAAAGGAATACCAAAAGGAAGCCATAGGCAACGCCCTGTAAAAAGTACCCTATTTGGCGAGCTGGGGTAGGCATCACCTTGCCAAAGATCTTAGCCACTCAGCTCTATGTACCAACAAATATTTTTAATGGACGTTGTGTAGCGTGAGGATGTAGTTGCAAAAACCACCTTGAATAGCTCAGGTTGCGAGAATAGTTTTTTGCGAACTGTAGAAGCAGGAGCCAATCTGGCATACCTTGCTTTGGGTATATGTTGGATGCTTGTTTCTTTTGCGGGAAGCAAAAAAGACGGCCGCCCTGCATGATCCTAGCGGTCAGCATGGCGATTTGCTTTGGAAAAGCAAAGGCTGAGCCTTTAAGCGTGGTGTCGGAATGGCAGCTTGTCCCACTGGCTTTGCTTTCTGTGACCTGCTATGACAGGGACGCTTGAGTGATTTCGAGCTGTTTGCAAGCTTTATCTTTTTGTATTGGAGATGTGTAGCAAGACAATTGTCACATGCAATGCCCTTGTGGCACCAGTTGTGGGCACTAACTCAAACAGTGTCAACGCAAGAATAGTGGTGCATTCTGCAGAAGGTGTTGGGGATCAACATGATCATAACACGGCGCGCTTTGTCGGGATGTATACATATATTTGTATATGTCTATACGTATATATCATACACATGAAATGCATGCATATGCATTTATATCCGTTCAGTCCGCAACATGGCACTTGAACACCTTCGGCTCCGTCTGCCGACAAAAACAGACCTGCTTTCTTGCATTTGTCTCACAGGTACAGTACAGTTCTGCCGAAGATTCTCTCTTTTTGTTTGGCTTTTCGTTTGTGCTCTCTCCTTTTGCAACGAACACCGCAGGACTTGGGTAGGGACCTTTGCTTGCCACGGTTTGTTCACGTTCTCTGCCGTAGGTGGGGATGTGTGTACCGTCCTCGTGGGACAGGTCCCCAGAAGTCATGAATTGGGGCGCTACTGCTGCAATCAAGCTCTGTCCAGCTGATGCTTCTGTTCCTTTTCTCTTGTTTGCACTGTTTCCTTTTGAGCGGGGCTCCACAGACCTTGCGGTAGGGACCTTTGGTTTGCCTCTGTTTGTTCATGTTCCTGGTCCTAGCCGAAGATGTGTGCGGCTCTTTGTTTTGCGACTTCCTCGTGTTTTCGAAAGGTCCCCAGAGTGATGGATTGGGGTGCTACTGATGCAATCAAGCTCTGTCTTGCTGATGCTTATCGTTCTTTTCTTTTGTTTGCACTTTTTGCTTTTCAAAGGTCCCCTCAGGACTTGAGTGGGGACCTGTGGCATGTGTCTGATTGTTCAAGCTCGTTTCCCTGGTTGGAGACTCCTGTAGGTTTTTGTTGGCAATTTCCTCTGTCGGACACGTGGTGATGCTGAGGATGCTAGAACGATTCTGAGGATGCTGAGGATGCTGGGCAGGGACTGTCTGGGAATCAGCGGTACAAGCCCCCGCCCCCGCCCAAAAGTAACGTAGGCGGCGGAGATCCCACTTCACATGTCAAGCACAAGACGTGTCCGGTGGACAATTCGGCATTTGATGCCTGTGACATATTATACGTTTGACCAACCTGGTCCCCCAAATTTCGGAAACATGTTGACTTGCATGTGATTTGGACAAAGCGAGCATATTTTGATGGTTTCGAGCTCACTGAAGGTCCTTGGGGATTCCTTGCCTCCAATTTGTGCAATGTAGTGCAAGAAAAGGGGACGGGCTTGGCGTGTTTGAGTTCGATGGGAGGATGCCTGTATATTAAGCCTTGCTCTGCCGGCAGGATGTTGGTTATGAGCAGGAGTCTGTGTACGAAGGCACCCCGAAAGTCATCTCATGGAACCTCGGTTTGGTGGGAATGCCTTCCGCACCGCGATACGGGGCCTTGAAAGGAAAGGCGCCCCGAAAAACAATGCGACGCGAGGCTTCCGATCGCGGCAAATGCGCGACGGCGCCCTTTTGGGCCAGAACAAAGCTCGGGGAACCCATTGGCCTCACATCGTGCATCAAGCAGCAGCTTGGAACCCCAAGTCGCAAAACCCCATCTTGGATTGTTGGTTGCTGTGAATACTTCGTTTGCAGCCCCCCACCAGAGATCTTTGCCAAGAGCTACCCAGAAGCAGCTGCTCTCTGGCTTGAAGGGAGCTTAGCAGGGATTAGAAGAAGTTTGCGCAAGCCTGGAGAATCATGCTGGCAACTAATAAGAGTAAAACATCGCTGAACCAAGAAACGTGCGGCTTTTGCAACCGAGCTTGGGTGGGTGTCCTGCTGGACCTGGTTTCACGGCATGCTCGCTGCCTGTGCGCCCAAGCCGCTTTGCAACCCTTGCACTAGTGAACAAAGTTTCGAGCTGACCTACGTTGGGCCTATCTTCGGGCTCGATTTGCGAAAGCGCCAGGCTTTGTTCCACTTTTGTGGAACAGATAAATCATGAGGTCGGCAAGCTTGTCGCCAAAGCTTCAAATGTATTTCTTGTTCATAAACAGGATATGTTCCGGCTGCTGCTACAATTCAACTCTGCCGGATGACCGGACGGTCTTTCTGCAATATCGGGTTGGACGAGATTGCTGGTGGGCTTTACGAGGAAATGGCCGCTGGATTTGACTCTCCTTCGGCTCCCAGAATGTCCCCACTATCAAGTTCGACATTCAGAAGTGAGGAGCTACTACTCCTAGGTCCCCCCAGTAGTGCCCTTTTACCAACTCTTTTGGGGGAGGGTTCCCCTAAAATAGACTACAGAAAAATTCGGTACCCTTATTCTAACCTCTGAAATAGAGGACCTAGTTTAAGAAGCTTGGAGCTACTCTAAATCTCACAGACATAGGACAAGGCAAGGCTGGTCTGACACGGCTTGGGCACTGGGCGTACCTCCGTGCTTTCGGACGTGAGGCGAGCATCGTGACACGGCATTCTTTTTCACACGGATAGCTGTTCAAGATGAGGTACCCCTGCCCCCGAAAAAAACAAAGAAAAGGTGAAGAGCGTGTTTTCCTGTGGCTTTCTCAAGTTAAACTTTGAGACGATGATTGAGGAAAGCCAGCAACATTGGCCGCAGGAGCTAGTCTAACTAGTTTCACGGTTGGTGGGCAATGGTCTTGCGGAGACGGATGAAATTCTTGAACTGGTGGACGTTCCAGGATATGTATTATTCCAGCCATCTTAAGCATGCCGGGCAAAACAGAACATGTTTGCTGGATCTCAAAGCACAAAATATATGTTGGGCAGCTGTACAGATTTGCAGCACTCATTGCCAGGACCTGCTCTAGCCAGCATCAGAGGGCTGTCTTGTTTTTCTGATGATTGGATGCTTCCCGCAGAGCACACTCTGATCTCTACAAAGGCTACCGTGGCACTCGTTCCGTTCGCGTGGAGCCACGGAAATGGATTCTGCGGGGTCTTTTCTGTTGGAAAGCTACTAAAAAGGCAGCTGGGTAGTTGCGTTTTGCCTTTTGAGTGTATCCTTCTCACCTGACAATCAACACCTGGTTAATTGGAGGGTAGTAAGGGACAATCCCAGCCACTTTGTATTTCCTTACATGGTTCTGGGTCAGCCATTTTAATACCGTGGTTTCATTGTGCCTATTTTGTGATACAAACTCGAAGTGGCACACGTGCCTGCTTCAGTCATGAGGGATGCTCGCTTTGCCCATCAGTCTGGGCCGTTGGGATCGCTGGGCTCGAGAGAGCGAGCATGGACATGCCGAGAAAAAGATAGGGACCTGCTGCTGATTAGAATCCTTCGCCGAATGCTGTGCCGCCGAATGGTAGCCGAAACAGCATCAGATGATTACATGAGATGCATGACGACGATGATGATGTTGATGATTCCTTGCAGAGAAGCACTAGAACCTGACAACATACCTGACCATACTAGGTGTTTTGATAGGTTTGCAGTATAGGACAAAGGGCAGATCTGAAAAGGGCAGTAAACACGTCATTCTTCAGATTCAAAAACAATAAGTGAACACGATCTAAGAATCGCGAGGGCTTCGCTGGCCAATCTCAGAATACAGCGGCCTGGTATGAAAGGTAAGCAACACAAACCAGGGAGTCCTTGCACAACCCGCCCGAAGCCACCGTTCACACTGCTAGAGCCAGAAGAGCTTCGCATATTTTTTAGGCACCCGCCCGAACTACCTGAGGCTCCACTCTTTCCTTTTGCCGGATCAAGCGGGAAAGCCAACAGGGCCTCCCAGCCTGGCGCTGGGTGTTCCCAGTGGCCAAAGGATGGCATGACCCGATTTGGGTACCCTCCCACCCATTTTTTGACATGGCACCTGACGTTCGGGGGTCCCTGTCTAAAAAGGAACATGCTCCAAACCAGCACCCCCCCGAACGTTAGGTTCCATGTGAGTTGGTGCGAGGGTATCTGTCACACTTGGACCCCCAAAAAGTCAAACTCTCATGGCTAAACCCTAAACCCTGAGCCCTGAACCCTGAACCCTAAACCATGGTTGTTGTTGGGAAACATTTTACTTTTTTGCTTATTGTGGTTTAGTGGGAAATCCCCACTTAACTGCTAAGATTTATTTTTTTGCTCCCCTTCCAACGTCAACCAACAAACCCTAGACCCTAAACTTTAAGCCGGGTCATGGCCCTGGTGTTCAGGGCAACGGCACCCACAAACAGCCGGGTGTCCGGCCCAGCCCTCACCTCGTTGCCAGGCTCTGAAGTCCGAGTACCTCGTTTGGTGCCAGGACGCCGTGAAGCAAGGCGTCTTGGCGCGGCGCCCAGTGGTTTGAGGGCTGAATCGGGTAGGAAGGTATGTCTTCTTGTCTTGTCTGTCCGCATGAGTCCGTGAGGTGAACTCGAGTCGGGGCACTGCACATGACGTGCGCGCACACTTGTATCAGTGTGGTTACGCTAGCCTAGCCGTACGAAGCCAATTGCTCACGCTGCAGCTAGGCAAGCACTTGAAGGAGAAATGAAATGCAAAAGAAGAGCAGCTGCACATGCTGCTCACACGCCTGCTACCCAGCATCAGCTGGGGATTGGCGACGGGGGTGCTCATTCGAGTTCCCCGTGTTCGCGCCACCGGTTAAAATCAAGCACGACTATTGCGTGCTTCGAGCTGGCGAATCAGCGGGTTGGGAGGGGCAGCTCCTACTGCATGCGCTTCTTGCCACTCAAGCTGTCTGGAAAACTGGGGTCGTATCTTGAGCAGAACCTTCTGGTCTCTCGTCTCTTTTGCCACAGCGAGCTGCACTGAGCTTTCCATTTCCGGCATGGTTTTGAGAGCGTAGGAAGGTATACAGAAAGGAACAACTACGTGAATGAATTAATGATGTATTGCCAATGTATATGCATACTACTCCAATGGACTTACATTCCGTAGGGTTTAGCAGCGCATGTTTCATGCTTACCATTTCTACTGAACATACACAAGCAAAACACAATGCTGCAACAAGTGCGGTTTTACTCGCCCGATCTGGTGCCTGCTTCTGGTTTGGCTCGCCGCCCGATCTTTCATTCGATGGTCTGGCTTTGGCTTGTCCGAGCCGTCGACGGTCAATCGGAGGTCTTGGATTCCAGCCTGTTCCCTTTGGAACATGGGCTCCCTTTGGCACGCAAGACGGAAATCCCTTGGATAGGAGTCCGGGGGATTTGTTGCTCATCCGTTCTGTCCTTTCTACTGATCGGAGTTGAAATCTAATTTATTTGATATTCTTGCCTATTGGACCTCTTCGCTGTACAACCTTTGAGTAAAGTCCGAGGAAGGAGCGACGTGAAACACTAGCTTGAGTGGGGTTGACAAACCAATTTGGTTTCTTCGGAATTCCAGTCTCTTAAGTCTGCTACGCGCCGAACAAAAGCGGTGTTATTCGTGTCAGACGGCCGGTGACACAGGCAGCGACGAACTCCCGGCGGGCGGTAGATGGCTTCATGCAGGAGGCGGGATGGCTGCCGGGGCCGGACATTTTTCGAGACGCGGTCTGCGTTTCTTTCCGTGGACCTGCAACAGATCAGGCAGCCCCGGATTTGGTGGATTGGTTCAGGCAGCCCCGGATTGGTGACTTGGATTGGTTCAGGCAGCCCCGGATTGGTGACTTGGATTGGTTCAGGCAGCCCCGGATTGGTGACTTGGATTGGTTCAGGCAGCCCCGGATTGGTGACTTGGATTGGTTCAGGCAGCCCCGGATTGGTGATTTGGATTGGTGGTTCTGGGGATTTGAGCCCTTGTTCTTGTAGAGGGCGACTCCTCGAAGCCGAGTGGGTTTTGGTCGGGATGTCGTGCGCAACTCTCTTGAAGCTCTGAAGTTCGCGAACGCGGTCTTCCCCAAGCTGCTTGTAAAAATGTTGTCCCTGTGGTTTTCTTTCAAGCAACAGCCAGAAACAGGAAGCCTCAAAGAAGACGACCATCTTGCGACTTGTTGCTTCTTCTTCCCGGAACGATGAGTCGACGAGATGGCCGGAGCCATGCCTCTGCGTGGGCACAGCTTCGGCTTCGAAAACACAAATCGTTGCGTGGGCTGATACGTGTGTGGTGTCGGTTTATCAGACAGGTGGTTGGTTTCGTCTATAGGCCCATGTATCCAGATCGCTGACTCGCCAAACCTGTCAGCGCGCAAACCGAACCGGCGGTCCGACGTCCGGAAGGTGTCTGCCCAGTCGGTGCAGGAGATGGACAGGCGGGCCCAAAGCAGCGATTTGACCGGAGAACGATCCCATTGTGAGTGACGTTCACCCCATATGAAAATTTCAACCGCGGTGTATGATTAAGGGGTAGTCCCTCCAAGAATGGTCCCTCCAAAAATGGTCTGATTCCTCGCTAAACCCAGGCACACCCCGCCTAATTATGAACAAAACGAAGTTAATTTACATGGGGTCAACATTATGGGTTGTTTGTTTCAGGTTCACAATCCATTCCAGACGCTGCGTTTGCTCTGGCAGAGATGTTGCATCGAATCGCAGCGACCTCACCCTGAAGGTTGGGTTGCGCAACTAAACCTTGAACAGCCCGATCATTGCCGAGTTGTTTTCGGCCGAGCTCTCTGTCTAGAACGGCTGAAGTGGTTGGCATTTGCAGCCAGCAGAGTTTGCTCATGGCGATCCTGTTTGCATTTGGAGCTTCGGATGAACAGGGCTCCTTGAAAGATGCATTTTGCCCAATTGAAACATGGCTTTTTCCACCAGAATAAAGGGACACCACCATTTACAAGGCAATGTTCAGGTGTAAAATGTAAGGATCCCTGATGAAGTTTCCAGCGTTCACCCTCCGGTACTTTGGTCTTCCTGCCGCGCTTCGCATGCGCCGATTTGGGCCGTCTGGCAGACACCTGGCGGAAGTGAAAGCGGAGGGCGACAGCAAGAGATTTGTCGGGTGGCCCGGAGCGCATGGGCTGGCACAGGCTTTTTTTCTTTTTCTCATGAGCGAAAATCGAAACCGATTCGGGTAGATGAAGGTTAGTCAGGGACGATCCACACCATAAATAGCTGCTGCCGCCTTCTTAATCCTGTACATGGTTCTGGGTAGACCATTTTAGTACCAGGCTTTCATTGAGACTCTCATGGTCTTTGAACTTCGTTGCTCCATCATTACTTGCCGGTTCTCAGCAGGGAGTGAGAAATGGAATGATCGCAAGAGAAACCCCATGCCCTGTGGTTTCCTTTAAGGGAATCCCCAAAACCGGTTCATTCAAAAAACACCCGGAACGGTCATTCCCACCGATCGCACCAGGAAGATGAGCCAAAAAACCCGTTCGCCGTTCGTCGGCTTGTTGGGGGCATCAGGTGGCCGCTTGCCGCGACAGTGTGCGACAGACACTGCGGCGCGAGGCCTCGCGACTCCCGGGAGTCTCGTTTGTCCCAAAATGGGTGGGGCGCTTCCTGGTTTCCCTTTAAACCACCCCCGAGAAAGTGCACTCGAAAAAAGCTCCGAAGAATTTCAGTCCTGCAGATTGTCCTTAGTTATGAAAAGACCTTCTAAAATGGCTGGAACGCCCTCCACCAGTTATTAGCCGACTAAATCCCTGGATGCCAAATAAAAAGAATCTCAGATTCATTTTTGATGTTCTTCGCTGTGTCAGCTCTTATCCGACCTCAGCTGCAACTGGGACACCAAATGAGGAACACCCAATGGAGAGTTGCAAACGTGCGCAACCGCCCGTTTCACGCAGATTTCGGCATTTCATTCCTTGCAGTTGGCAAGTTCCGATTGCTTTGGACTAAGCAGGGCTTTGAATGTGGCTAAGCAATGGCCACTTGCCGCGTGCGGCAACACTTCCAGCTTGCCACGTTTCTTGCGGTGATGAGGTAGCACAATTTGCGAATGTGAAGCTGGTGGCAACACGTGACAGTACCCAGTTGACAAGTTATTCGATGTGTACCCATTATTTTGGCAACCAACACAAGCAACCGTGCTGTTTTCGAATTGCAGTGCCCGCAGGGGCTCAACCGAGCTCACAGATCAAAGCCCCTTGTCGTATTTGACGGCGGTTTTCTGCACAGAACCGTCTGCCATTGATCGAGTTTCCTCACCGCCTCAACAGTCAAACCCCTGATTTGCCGCCTTAATCTTATTCTCTACCTTGTTCTGAACTTTGACCTCCAAGCCGCACATCGAGATAAACAAGCAACAACGCACACACACACACAACTCGACGTTGGGCCAAATACCCCATGGCCCCCGTTTGGCATGGCCTTGTGAGTCGGTTGCGGGTTTGCTTCAGAAGCAAAGCCCCTCAGGTGAAGTCCTTCGAGGGAGATCTTGAGCCTGGGAGCCCGGAGGTCAGAGTTTTTTTTTCCATTTCGACGAGGGCGAGCGAAAAAAAAAGGGGAAGTCGCTTGAACCCATGACGATTCTTTGCTATGGATTGGACTGGTCCTTTCGGACAGAGCAAAACGCCCTTTCATGGTCGTTGTTGGCAAGCATGTTTTACATTTTTGCTTGCCGTGGTTTTGTTTTCACTCCCCACTGAATACTGCTAAAGTTTTAAAGTTTTGGGCTCCCCTTCCGATGTCAACCAAGTTAAACTTGAGCACTTTGAGCAGGCCACAGCTTTCCATTGTCGTTCATGGTCGTTGTTCTTTGTTCAGAACTCAAACTCCAAGCGAGTCTCGATCCAAAGCTCTGGGCATATGGTCTTCGGCAGTCTTGGAGCTTTATCCAAATCGCCGCCAAGCGTGGTGACGTTGTAGCCGTCTCCTCTGAAATCAACGAAGGCGTGTGGAATCAACAAAGGCAAAATCTGACTTTAGCTTGTTCCAATCCAACCAGTACATGGTTATGATGCAACAAATGCAACAGACAGGTCCGAAGTAGACTTGTTTTGGCGACGAGTGGCCGAACCGATGTGGAATGGAGGCATTAGCACACAGACACAGATGGACCTTGTGAATCAATGGGATTGTCACAATGGATCCTGTCAATCTAAATATGATCAAACAGAGTCAATTCCTGCGAGCTCAGGGAATGTCCAAACGGGGACATGTCAAAATGGGGGACCCTAAAGATGGTACTTGCAGCTGACACCGCTGTACTTGACGAAGCATTTGTTTCTAGTTGCTTTGTGCCAGTGGATGGTGATGTAGATCTGGGGAGTCGATGTCAAAGTCAAATTGCTGTATGGGAAGGGACCTTGTGCAAGCTTTTTCATCGCTTACAAGACACCGGCAAGGCTTCGACTTGAACATTGGCTTGGTGGGTTGTTTGCGGCTTACCCTGTTGTCAGAGCCCAGACGACTTGCATTTCACGCTCTGTGGAAGAAGAAGGTTGCCGCTGGTGATCCAAAGCCGTCGTGCCAAGTTTTGCCTGGCATCCAACATATGTTTTGTGGCACGCATTTTTTGAAGAGGGAGCACCGCGGAGAAAAGATTGGTACGGTGGACATATGACGCATGACTGGGGGGCTCAACTTGACCATCTAAGGATTAATTTCATCATGGGAGGTGTCAGAAAACAGCCACTCGGCCTGGCTTGCTTTCTAGATATTTGAGTACGCGGCTTGCAATGTGAGAACCGCTTGGTGATGTGTGTGTGTGTGTTTTACCCAGAAATCTTTGGCAGACGATACGACGTGCATCTCACAGCAACGATCGCAATCTTTTGGCGGACTTCGCGGAAATCCTCACCTCTTGTATCATTTGACAAAATTCGGGCGTGACCTATATGGAAACTGTTGTTTTTTGGGATTCCTCTTTTGGTTCAGAAACTACGTCGCCACTTTTGATTGGGTGGCTTTTGCAATTAGGTTTGCATTTCATGTTGCTTTGGTCTGCCACGAAAAGCGGTTTGAGAAGTTGTGCATTTCCTAATTGGGATTGTCCAACTTTCAGGTTCCTCTTGAACCCATGTTCTTTTGCGCATAGATGGTGGGGGGAAGCTGGAACGATGTATGTCCGTGGCTCCTAGCTCCTGTCTCTCCCAGGTCGAGCACGGTGGGGCGCCCGGGAGGTTGCTGTCTATTGGGGACTGCCCTTGTTGCGCGACAAAACCCGTTAGCATGGCCTTCATCGCGGGACCGAAAGGTCTGAGCCTCGCGCGGTTTTTTGAGTCTCGACTTGTTTTGAACGCAAGGTAGTGTGGTATTCGTTCTTTGTTTGGTTGTTTGGGCGAGACCTTTGGTTGTTTGGGCGACAATTTTGACGGAATTCTGCAGACAACGCCTCGGTGCAGGACGGAAGCTTTTGGCAAGCATGTTGATTGGGTGGGTTTTGAATGTCTCTGGGGCCTGGCCCAGCAGCGTGATCGAAAAAAAATAAATCAGGTGGCGGGATATTCGGCAAAGCTTCCTCGGTCGCCTTGCTTGGTGACTGACATCCACAGGGGCTTTCAGACAGCTGACTGCATTAGGTGCTACTGTGGATGGACCAAATCCTGCACCAGTTGGGCTGGATGACCCCAGTAAAACTGGGATGAACCATCTACCAAGTGGTGTGCGAAATGGATTTTGTCCATCAATGCGTCAGGACCTGGTATTGGATTTGAAATAATATTGGTATTGTTTCACCACCCTGCCGAGTTGCAGCAGGCGTTGTTTTTTGCCGATTTTCGCGCATAGGTCCAGGCCCAAACAGGGCAGTTTGTTTGAATGATACGTGTTTGGAGCACAGATGTGACTTTTCTTGGCAACTTGCGCCTGTTGAGCCCAACCTCACAGCGACCTCGTACCCTTCATTTCTGGTTACTCCTTGGTTTGGATTCTGAGGCGGCTGAATGCATTTTGCGGAGTTTGGTGCTGTGTGTTCCATCCCCTTTGGGTTTGTCTGAAAATTTGGGACACCCAACATGGTTGGTTTCCTGTTGGTTTCCCCAAGCTGCGCAAAAGGGGGTACCTTTCATAACCATTCCCTATTGTTCCTTTTGATGGAATCAATAGGCTCATTCCCAGCACCCTGGGTCTCTCCATACTGAGCACCAGCAAGAAAAGACAAATGCATATCAATACTCAAAAGGTCGCTCGACTCAAAGGTCGCTCGGCTCCTCGATCCGTCGACAAGAACCCTCCAGGCCGCTTCCGCCACCG